CCCCAAAACCCCAAAACCCCAAAACCCCAAAACCCCAATAAAAGTATTAATATTTAAAATGCATGCTAATGTGGATCTTATCCTAGATGATGCCAACTATAATCCTCAGCAGCCTGTACTTGGCAGGAATGCATCTTCGGTCAGGTATAGAGACCAGGCAAGACAGAATGCATCACAGGAAAGGAAAACAGCAAGACTAACCAATGCCTTCACAGCAGTAGTTATGCTAATCACAATTGGCATCATTGGGGCTTGTCTTTATTTCTCTAAAGAAGAGAGTTGTAAATTTAATATTAAAGGACTCCTGCATCTCGCTATTGGGCTAAAAGTAGGCATTTTGACATTTTCAGTGATAGCTTTTTGTATACTTAAGAATACTCAAAGTGACATTGGATGGATTTTTGGGATCAATTTTATCACATTCCTAGTTATGCTAGTATTTAATTTCCAAGTCCTCCGCTTATTCTTCTCAAACGGAGTTAATTGTGACAAATCTTTTGACTGGCTAAACTTTGCTCACTGTATGCTTGCAGTAGAAGCACTGATCAGCTTTCTCTTCTTGCTATTAATATGAATTGCCATTATAACGGGTGCTTACCAAGAATATTCCCAAAAAGATAGAATTAGGAATCAATTGGTAGCTCAGAACAATGGAAGAAGACCACAAGCTCCAGTAATTAGACCTGAGGATAGGAGAGAAGAAAACCAAAATCAAAATGTTGAAGAGAGACCAAGAGAGAGAAGTAATCATATATCTATCAGCAACCTGCTTCTGAATGTAGCTACATTTAAACTTAAGCCTGAAGATTATAGAAATATGGATGAGTGCTCAATATGTCTAGAAAAATTCAATGAAAATGATCAGTTAATCTCTCTTCCATGTCACGATGCTCACATGTTTCACCCACATTGAATCTCCGACTGGTCTAAAGTAAGCGAGGCTTGCCCTATTTGTAGAGTAAGGATCGACAGAAACGAAATTAAAGCTTTACAAAGAGAAAACCAAGCCCTCCTGAATTAATAAATACCGACTTGATTTTATATGGTTCAATAATACTATATCTTTAAGGGGTTTTGGGGTTTTGGGGTTTTGGGGTTTTGGGG